AGGACTGTGTAGGAGCAGGGTTTGGTGTTTGGGACGGAGATGGGTTTGGTGACTTCGAAATAGGTGGTCGGAGGAGTGTCGGCGGCGGGTTCTGATGCGGGGTTGGGGATGGATTCCGATCGGAATAGGGCGGTGGTGGCGCGTAGGTCCGCGGCGGCGAGCGGCGGGCGGTGGAGGAGGGTGAGGAGCAGGAGGAGAGTGAAAGTGGGAGCCATTTTTACTGAGCTAAACTCAGGTGCGGCCGTGTGGGTAAAAGATCTGAATATAATCAGCCACTGAAATTTGGTTTATATATAGTTAAAACTTAAAGGTCAAAGTCAAATGTTATTTTAAGAGAAAAATTTAAATATGAATTGTTGGTAAAAATGATATTATAGATCCGCTTTCATGATTATTATTTTTTATGGGCATAAAAAGTACCAACCTTGGAGTGCAAAACAACTAAACAAGTGTGGTATTATTGTATTTGAATGTGGAGTGGATGGTAGAGGAAAATTATTATCCACACATTATATCCAACAATATGAGGTATGCTTTGTAATTAGATATTCGTTTACTAAAGTGGATGGGATGGTATTAGTGAGTTAGCTCACCATATTCAGCGTTTATAGAACCGGATTGGGATAAAATTTTGCCTGCGTGGCAATTATGTGGCAATGTAAAAACACGCGTGGCAGAGGAAAATTATTATCTACACATTATATCCAACAATATGAGGTATTGATGGAGATAAGAATGTTTAGAATCTTTAATTATTATTATTATTATTATTAGCATTTAATATTTATTTATATTTAATGACTTGGTGGACAAGATAGATTTTAGGATTAGGATGTCTTATTTAAAGACCTCTCTTATTTTGTTATTCGGGGAGTTGAATTTTGAGAATGAATTAAAATTGTTTGTGTTTTTTGGGAGAGTATCTCGTGTTCTGGAGAGAGTATCTCCTTGTATCCTTTTATCTTCCCATTCGTAAGCTTCTCCCCTACATCAGTTGGTATCAGCAGTCAGTACGATCGCGATGTCGCCGGGACGAGAAGATGCCGCAAACAAACAACGTGATGCAACCTTCAACGATCGGTTTCAACAAACTGACTATCGATTTGAAAAGGTGGACGTGCGTTTCACGGATTGGTTTGCAGATCTTTCGACGGGGATCGAGGATGTGTGTTTGACACCGAACAACGTGATTGTTGCGGATTTGCAGATGAACCGTGCCGCCGGCGACCGGGGTGTGCGCGGGGGAGTTCACGGAGGAAGTGGAGGTCGTGGTCCAGGCGGGGCGCCCCGTCGACGATCTCCACAACCACCGTCTGGTGATGCAGACGGCGAGGAGACCATCTTGGATGTGGATCCCTTCGGAGAGTGGCCGCCTCCGCCTGTCGAGACTAAACTCGTTGTTGTACACAACGGCCAACAAGGTGTGGTTTTTGAGGACAATGACGGCCTATTGTACGACGGTCCGCCTATTTTTGATGAGGAGCCACTTGTGGTGTCGATGGAGGACCAGTACCATGTGGTTGTAGAATCATCTATGAGGCCAGAGGTTGTGCCTGGAATGGATGTTTTCAGTGAATTGGAAGATGGATTTTCATGGTCTTTTATTCAACAAACATATGCGTTTGATAACTCGCATAGTGTGCCCAAAAAGGACAAAGTGGAGAGTTGCTGCCATAGATTTTCTGCTTGTGAGTAT